TACTTCAGTGTTGGCTTTATAGTCATGTGTTCCCAAGCCTGGCTTCAAGAGCACACAGCTCAATTGCTGTTTCCTTGATGCTAGAAATGGAACTCTGGGACTTGAACATGCTAGGCACGCTCTCTACCACTGAGATACATCCCAGTCTTGGTATTTTTTTTCAGACAGGATCTCATAAAGCAGCCCAGATTGGCTTGAAATTTAGTCTTCCTGCTTCAGAGTGCTATGATGACAGGCATGAGCCACCACATCACATTTTCAAGTTATCATCTGCTAAGGGTTCCCAGTAAGGTATTTTGTTATGAGTTTACATATGCATGGGCACATGCACGTGCACACACATACACACACACACACACACACACACACACACACACACACTCACACACACACACATGCAAACACATGGTGTGTTTTGATCATATTCACATCTCTATTTTTTTTCAGGTCCCTATGTATGTATGTATGTATGTATGTATGTATGTTTGAATGTATGTATGTATGTATGTATGTATATTCCACCCAAAGATTACAAAGATATTTTCCTACACACTTTTGTAAAAGAAAATTTCATTTTCTCTCTTTATTCTCTGTGGGGTCAGCTACCATAGAGACACATACACAGTCCTTAGTTTTACCCATTAGATAACCATGAACTTTGGAGAAATTGTTTAGTTTGTTCAAGCCGCTTCTTTTATTTCCATCCTCTTATAACATACAGACAAACTGTTTCTGTATATCTAGATATTTCTTTCTCTGTGATGCGCCCAGGCTTGGATTTCCTGCTTGTGTTTATTTCATGCTGATAAACCCTGTGTGTTCTGTAAGGCTGTTCTAATCCTTTTTGGAATGAAGTGGAGCATAAATAAATAAAAGTCCCATCTCAGGAGCCGCCTCTCTCTGTGCCAGAGTGTTCAGGCCCTCGGCCTGTGGGGACTCCACTTAATAAATTACTGATTGTGTGCATCCTGAAGGTAATGGAGCTTCCAGAGGTGCAGAACAAACCGCCAGAGAGTTGTTTAAGTACTAGGAAAATCTGGCCTGATACATTATTCCAGATCTATATTTATGTTCATGACTTACAAAGCACCCCAGGGCCCACTGGGATAAGAAAAGCTGCATGGATCTAAGAAAATATTATTAAATGGATTTATTTTGGGTTGCAAAAGAGTGTGCAGCTCTCTGGAGAACCACTGGAGGGGAGTGAATTATTTTCTGCAATCTGTAACACTTGTCTCCTTAACAGCCTCCTGTTGCACCCCTGGTGCCCACCCTAATAGTGCCAGTTAATCCTGTTGCTATAGTTACAACAATTAATTATGTGCTTAACTAGCCTTACTAGTACATGGCAGCGATTCAATTAAAAACTGATTTTTTTTTCCACCCGTAAGCTTTGAAGACTGGCCATAACGTGGATTGAAAGAGTCCCAGAAGCTGTTCAGTGTCTTGGTGGCAGCATCTTTGGCTAGAACTTGATGGGACAGGGCACTGTTGTCCTGACAGAGGTTTTTGGTACCAGAGCCAAACCATTTGGGAGACTGACTCCAACAGTTGAGTGAATTATAAAATGAATACCCTGTGGGCATCAGTTACTCAGAAGGGGTTTTACCCCCATCTTAATTTTAGTAATGCATTTAAATATTAATGGGAATATATACGGTCCTACATTAGCAGCTGTGGCAACCCTTGCTCTGACACTTTGGGAGTCTCAGAGTCCTCAGTAGCTGTACCATATGATGGGAATTGCCTTAGAGGCCAGGCAGACTTAGGGGCAGGGGACACATCAGAGCTCCAAAGTGACTGAGACTGTAGTCTTCGGGGGTTTATAGTTGGAAAGACAGCACTGTTCCTGACCACCAATGTCCAAGTGAGCACCTGACAGCTTCACTGAAGAAACTAAAGTTTTGAAGAGACTTCTTTTTATTTTCTTTCCAAATCATAAAAGACATCCCATCCACAGAACTAGCCCTCATTTTCTCTTGTTTACATATTTTAAAACAATTTGCCATTACCTTGGCCCCATGATAATGACAGCTAATATTGATGAACTTGGACAGACTAGTAGTAAGAGGTCTATGTGATTGTTTCTGTCCTTTGATTTTCCAGATATAGAAACTGAGTCTGTCAAAGCACAAGGTAGTCACAGCTGGGTGGCACAGCACTGTCACACCTGACTTCCTGTTCCATCTTGGTTCTTTATTCTCTCAACTCCTCCAAACACCATTTCACTCCGACCCTCTTCCCTTAAGGACCTCATAGTCTCAATCAAGCTCCAGTCTCCACCTTTTGGAGAGTGTCTCCACAACCTAACCCTGACCCTCCTTCATCAGCCCAGGCCACTTTCCCTCCTTGTCCTTCCCCACACTTCTGTGTGTTCAGAACTGCCCCTTCACTGTGCCTGTCCTGACCATCTCAGCTCTGGCACGGGACGCATCTTCTCTTCCGCCATGAAACCCTGAAGCCTTCATTTTTGTTTGATCCTCAACTTCCTCTCCCTAGACTCCGTACAGTCACTGACTTACCTCGGCCTGGTGTCACATGATTTCATGGCCATGTCTCTATGCCCTAAATAGCAGCTGATGAGCTCAATGTTGAATGAAAATAAAAAAGAAACTTCTTTGCCAGAAGCCACTCTGTGGAGTTGACAAGAAACTGAGCGTACATGGACTTCCTCTTCAGCTTGTCACATGGCTTTGATGTTAGAATGCCACCCTCTTCCTCTAGTATACGTCTGTATAGCGATATAGGGATTCTGTGCCATCCCCATTAACACAAGAATTTGCCCAGACCTGCTGGCCTCTGGCCTCCAGAACAACTTTTCTGTAGTTCAGTCAGATAAGGCATTTGCCTATGCCCTCTATAGACTTGTCCTGTGTTGGGTACAAGGTCAATGCATGGTAGGCACTGAACGCATTTCATTTCTAAGTTAGAATGTGCTTCTTCACAATGAGATTGTTGTTTTTTCTGCAGGCAGTCTTCTAATTGAAAGAAATATTTCTGAAATGGAAGTGTGTGTGTGTGTGTGTGTGTGTGTGTGTGTGTGTATGTGTGTGTGAGAGAGAGAGAGAGAGAGAGAGAGAGAGAGAGAGAGAGAGAGAGAGAGAGAGAGAAAGGGGGTAGATGTTTGCATATGCACTCACAGAAGGAAGACTATTTTATGTTGTATGGAGATTTTCTCAGTAATTTAAGAGATATTTATTAAGTGTCTTATATCTGCAAGGCACTGTGTAGGTGTAAATATTATCTATCTCCTAAATAAATATTCATTAAAGAGTTCATTTTAATATTCATTAAAACAAGTAGATGAATTATTTACCCACTCGGGGGCCATGATGAGCTCGGAGAAGAAAGCAATACTTTTTGTTACCTGTGTGTCCCCTGAATGTGTAGCAAACGTTTATTGGGTGCTGGACACCAAATGAGACTGAGAAATGCAAGACAAGGAATACTTTAGGCAATGAATTCCGATGGAAGTAGATCAACTTCTCATGGTTGAGAGGCATGGCGGAGGTTGGGAAGAAGATGCTCATGAGCTACATTCGTCCTGCTGGGTCTTAAGCCTATAGCGATCATATGCTGACTCTGCCTAAAGTGGGCAGAACCCAAGGCCCCTGGAGCTGGGAGAGACTTCCCTTGGGATCCTCCTAGGAAGCCTACTGGCTTCAACTGCAGCCATACACTTGACTGTGACTTTCAAATACTCTGAGACCCCCTCCCCCACCACATACACATACCCATTCAAAGACAAAGACAGGCTTCCAGGAGTCAGAAAAGTCTCCTAATTGGTCCAATCTGATCCCTGTGGGAGGCAAGTACAGCCCATCACCAAGAGAACCCTGGGGACGACAGAGGCACCTGTCCAGGTAAATTCCATCATGCAGACCAATTGCAGTGTGGTTCTCTGCTATTGCCAAGGGGTTCCAGAGCCCCTTGTCTAATTTTCATTACTCAGGCTTGTATAGAGATGGGCTTAATCTCACAAGCCCAGCTAAAGGAAAATCCGAAGAGAACAAGTCTCCGAGAGTTAGATAGCTGGTTCGAGGTGAGCTGCTTGCAGGCCATCACAGATGGACTCCTCTGTCATCATCAGCTTGAGGCTGCACCTCCTGTGCCTTTGGTTACACGTTAGTTTTTAGGAAGGAGACAGTCTCACAATAACTCTCCTAAGCATTTGAAACACCACATGAAGGTAAGAAGGGACATCGCAATTTCTCAACATTTAAGATAGCACACACACAGGAGGAAGGTGGCTGCTGCAGGTTTATAGAAGTCCTGTAAGTGAAGACAATGGCCTCTGCATTTAAGAACGGCCATTTTTAAAACCAATTTATTTGTTTTTATTTTATTTCTTTAACTTAAAAAGAAGTCTATTCTCTCACATAATTTTGGGATTTAAAAAGAGTGGAGTCCCAATTTGTCTCTCTAGTTTTTGAATTGAGACACAGAATTTTTTGCTTAAAAAAAAAAGGCATACAATTGTTCTCTCCCTTAAGAGTTCATCTCAATAAACCTGTCAAACACCAAGGTAGAAACTGACCCCTTTAGGAAATCTCTTTGTTCCAGAGATTTAAAAATAATACTAACCTTCAGCATGTTGGGGGCACAAGGGCCCCTTTGCCATTGCCCGTTCTCACTCCGTGAGAGTTCTTTTCTCGGCAACGGTCCCCTTGGCTATAGTCAATCTCATCTCTTACTACTCTGTAATAAGTCCTCAGTATTCTACACCACCCTGTGGTTACACCATCATATTCCTCCCCAGCCAGCTCGTGAAATACCAAGAAGCAGCTCAGCAGAGGAGAACTCACCCATGGGTCACCTCAGGCTCATTGTTGGGATGGGCTCAGCACTGACTCTTCCGAATGGTCTTATTGCCCAAATATTCCTTTTGTTAAACACTGAGTCCATATTGGGAATCCACCCTGTATTTTATCTGTTCTCTCTGTTGGGACATGTGCTACAAGCTGACCTGGAGACCCTCCTCGTCTGCCCTCTCTCTTCACACAGCCACAGTTTCCTGTTACAGCAGCCAAATATAGAAGGTGCTCCCCACCTGGAAGTTCCATCTTTGTCCACTCTGAATCTTGAGTCATGTGCTGTTGAGTCAATCAGGCTAAGTACTTCTCTTGCCTCACACATCATGGGTTGTTTCTCTGGCGGCTCCCTGGTCCTTCACACAACCTCAACCCCATCTTTTCTTTCTCTACAGCTGCAGAAAGCTTGGGTGAAATATTCCTGTAACTATGACTTAAGCCAACCAACAAAAGGGAACTTCATTTACTCACTCAGGTTTATAAGGGGAGAATGACCTGTGTGGGTTTACAAAGGGCCTGGACTGTTCTCAAAGGTCTGCATCAGAGGCAGAGAGGCGTTACTATGAACTGAATGGTGTTCCCTTATAGGCATCCACATCTTCCTGTATTGTGACTAATTCTTAGTATTAATTGCTGATACTGAGCTGTATCAGTTACTTCCCTGTTGTGATAAAGCATCATGACCCAGGCAACTTGTGGAAGGAAGGGTTTACTTAGTCTTACAGGTCCAGAGTGTTCGAGTCTGTAATGGTGGAGACAGTGTGGTAGCAGGGAGCAGGTAGCAGGCTCTAGGCATGGCTGCTGGAGCAGGAAGCTGAGACTGTAAAGTAAAGCAAGACAGCAAAGTAAGAGAGGCTTTTTAATCTCAAAGCCAGCACAGGGAAGGCCCCAAATGGTACACCTCCTCCTGCAAGGCTAAACCTAAACTTCCCGAACAGTGCCACCAACTGAGGAACTGATGGCTCAAATGCCCAAGTCTTGGAGAAAATTTTCTCATTCAAACTACCATAAGAAGTAATTAAGATTGTACAAGATTTGGCATAGGATAGTGACGTGTTTTTAATCCCAGCACTCAGGAGGCAGAGGTGGGTGAATTTCTGTGAGTCTGAGGCCAGTCTAGGCAACATAGTGAGACACTGTCTCAAAAGAAAAAAAAAAGATTATATAAGGTCATAGGGTAGAGCCCCAAAGTGACAAGGTTCAGCATCCTTAGGTGAAGGGACAGAGACATCAGAGGGCTTGCTTACCTTCTCTCCATGAGCGGACATAGTAAAGAGAGAGCTGTCTACCCAGGTGGAGCACCCACACCACAACCCAAATTGGAAAGACCTTGATATCGACTATCCACCATCCAGAACTGTTAGAAATGAGTGCCCATCACTCAGGTCACCCAGTCTGGGATGTTCTATTTTGGCTGCCAGCCACCCTAGGGTGTAAACCCTGGTCAGAAAGCAGGGACATTTGGGGACCCCATGATGTGCTAGGTGCATTTGCTTACACTACTTATTTATACACCTCAGTAACCTTCCATATCTGCATCTCTATCCTCAGGTTACCTTCCGTAGAACTGGATTTATGGATAGATACTGTTAAATTTGACTTGGTCATGAAATATTTGTTTTCTCTATCTATGGTGATTAGTTTTGCTGGATATATTAGTTTGAGCTGGTATTTGTGGTTTCATAGAGTCTGCAAGACATCAGTTCAGGTCCTTCTGAATTTTAGGGTCTCTACTGAGAAGTCGGGTGTGATTCTAACAGGTCTGCCTTTATATGTTACTTGGCCTTTTCCCCTTGCTGCTTTTAGTATTCTTCTTTGTTCTGTATGTTTAGTGTTTTGATTATTATGTGGAGATAAGATTTTCTTTTCTGATCCAATCTATTTGCTGTTCTGTAAGCTTCTTGTACCTTAGGAGGCATGCCCTTCTTTAGGTTGGGAAAATTTTCATCTATGATTTTGTTAAACATATTCTCTAGGTTTTTTAGCTGGGTTTCTTCTCCGTCTTCTATTCCTATTATTCTTATGTTTGGTATATTCAGTGTCACAGATTTCCTGGATGTTTTTGTGTTAGGAATCTTTTGGATTTAAATTTTTCAGTAAATCTATTTCTTCTACCATTTCTTCAACGCTTGAGGTTCTCTCTTCCATCTCTTGTATTCTGTTGATGTTTGCATCTGTTGTTCTGTTCACTCACCCAGGTTGTCTTTCTATAGGATTCCTTCTATTTGTGTTTTCTGTGTTGCTTCTGTTTCCATTTTCAGGTCCTGAACAGTTTTCTTCATCTGTTTTTTTTGTTTTGTTTTTTTTTTCTTGGCTTTCTTGGCATTCTATTAGGGATTTATTGATTGCTTCTTATTTTTGTTTGTCTTTTCCTAAATTTCTTTAAGGGATTTTTTTTCATATCCTCTTTAAGGACCTCTATCAACCTCATAAGGTCATTTTTTAAGGCTGTTATCCTGTGCTTCAGCTGTGTTGGGTTGTTCAGGTCTTGGTGTTGTAGGATGACTGAACTCTGGTGATGTTATATTGTTATTTCTGTTATTGTGTTCTTACACTGGTGCTTAGGCATCTGGATTTGGGGTGATTATAGGTCTAGGTGTTGATTCCTGCATTTGTCTTGGTTGGATGGGTGTTTTGTTTCTTGTTTTTGGTTTTTCTTTCCTCTCTGGGCTTCTGACCTAAATGGCCAAGGATTCTGATGACTAGCAAGTCTTGAGATCCAGCAGGGCATCCTCTCTGCAGTTTTTGGGGTCTTAGGTCCCTAGATCCAGCCTGACCTCTGGTGAAGGCAAAGTCTTCTTCTGAGTTGTAAACCAGAATATGGAGCCCAGGGGGCAGGGTGTAGTCTGGGGTCCCTAGATCCAGCCTGGCCTCTGATACAGCAGCAGTCTTCTTCCAAAGTTGTGAGCCAGTATATGAAGGAGGGGTGCAGTCTGGGGTTGTTGGGCAGGCAGGTGTAAAGGGGTTTAGTGGGAGTCTTGCCTGGGGTCCTTAGTGATCAGTTTTAAATCCCTGGTTGCTGGGTTCCTACTGCCACTGATGTAATAAGCCAAATCAAACCGAATTAATAAATCCAGGTTTAATGAACAAAGCAAAGCAATCCTGGGTGACCCTTGGGAAGGCAGGGGAAAGGTCACAGAGGAGAGTCACAGGGAAAGAGTCACGGGGGAAGGGTCACATGGCAAATATGGCTGCCAGGCCTTAAGTACCCTGTAAGCATGGTCTTGAGCATCCCCAGAGAGGGACTGGCATTTGGTGGGCTTCGGGGGGATGGGTGGGGGTCTAGAATGAAAGGGAAGCTCTAGGGGAGGGGCTGCTGTTTGGTGGGCCTTCAGGGAGTGGGTTTAGGGAGACATATGGGGGATGGGAGCTGAGGTTGAGCTTCCACCAGAACACTTAGGTCCAGCCTGGCCTCCTGTAAGGCTGCCAGGGCCTTGGGGCCTAGTGTGGAGCCCAAGGGATGGAGGGTTCACAGTCTGGGTTTTTGGGGCAATGTCTTCATTAGAGTTTCCGTTACTGTGAAGAGACGCCATGACCATGGCAACTGTTATAAAGAAAATATTTAATTGAAGGGGCTCAATTACAGTTGCAGAGGTTCAGTCTGTTATGATCGTGACAGGGAGCATGGCAGTGTGCAGGCAGAAGTGGTGATGGAGCTGAGTGAGCGACTTCTTGCAAACAACAGGACATTGACTGACTGTCACACTGAGGGAAGTTTGAGACAAAGAGACTTCAAAGTCCCCTTCCACAGTGACACACTTCCTCCAAGAAAGCCACACCTCCTTATAGTAACATTCCCTTTGGGGACCATTTTCTTTCAAACTACCACAGGCAGGCTTAAAGGGGTTATGTGGGTGGTGTGTGGTAGCCTACCTGGGGTCCTTAGGAACAGCCTGGCCTTCAGTACAGCTGCCAGGGCTGGGGTTCCTAGTTCCAGCCTGTGCTCTGGAAAATCCCAAGTCTGTCTCTGAAGTTGTAGGCCCAGGACATGGAGCACCGGGGGTGCAGTCTAGGGTTGTTGAGCAGGTTTTAAGAGGTGTTAGCAGGAATGGGTACCTGGCCTCTGGTAAAGTGCTCCTTTGTGTTCTAATACCTCAGTGTTTAAATTATCTTTTTTTATTAAGTTTGAGAGGTTTCATTTTCATTTATATGTGTTTTAGTTTTCTCTAGAGCAATGGCTCCCAACCTTCCTAATGCTGTGACCCTTTAATAACAGTTCTTCATGTTATGATGACCCCCAACTATAAAATTATTTCATTGCTACTTCATAACTGTAAATTTGCTACTGTTGTGGCTCATAATGTAAATTTCTGATATGCAGGATATCTGGCATGTGACCCTTGTGGGGGTCATGACTCACACATTGGGAACCACTGCTCTAGAGGCAAATAACCAAGAGAATGACTGTATATATGTATATGTATATACATCATATATATATTTATATATGTTCACATATATATACATATCAGAATTTATTACACGAGCTTTAAGATAGTGACACTAGTGAAATCACACTAAGAAGCTGGGAAATTGGTAGTTGCTCCTTTCTTGAGGCTGCTGCCTCGACAGTCAAGTAGAGAGGACTCTCACAATAGCTGCCACTCACTAATGCTGGCAGGCTGCCTCAGCACACTCAATCTGGTGCTGGAACCCCACCTGGAAGATTCCTGGAGAGCCACTGGTCCCTAGTCCACAATGGAAGCTTGGAAATGCTAGCTCCAATGTCAGGAATGGAATCAGCAGCAGCAAGAATGGGGGCCAGGCAAGTAAAACACAAGATAAACTTCTTGCCCTTTGTAAATCTGGGCTGCTACCAGAAGATGCCACCCACACTCCACGTGGGCATTGCCACATCAATCAAAACAATTGGCACAGTTCATCAGCTGAGACTCTGTCCTTAGGAGATTCTAATTTGTAGCCAGTTGACATTAAAATGAACCATAACATCGTGCATGGGTGTGTATTTTATTTTATGTTCTGGTTAGCACACATGGAATTGGGTTTTGTTATGGCATTTTCGAGCAGAACTTGTTTCTGTTGATTCTTTCCCTCCTCTTCTCCCCTATGAACTTAAATCCTCCTGGTTCCCACCCACCTCCAGCACCTCTGCCTGCCTTCACGTCTCAAGTGTCTGGTTGCATCCTCACCTTCGTCAACAGAGATGTTGCGTTTTAACTGACATGTTTAGTCCATTGACAGTTAACGGGGCTGCTGATAGAGTGAGGGTCTTATGCCGCCATCATGCTTGCATTTTTAAAAAAGATTTTGAATTGTCTTCCAGTTCCATCTATCTTGCCTCCTTAGTTACCACTTCTTCCCCTTTCCTGTAATGACTACACAGTGATTATAACAACCTCTTAAAGTTCAATAAAAATGGTTACTTGACTCATTTTTTTTCATACATGAAAGAACTTTGCAAAGTTTAATTCTATTACCTTGCTTTCATATTTTGTATGGTTTTATCTATTCATTCTCTGTGTATTTTAAGTTATTATTGCTGTATAGATTTGACATTTAAATTTTGTCCACATATTTACATTTTCTGATTCTCTTTATTTCTTGTGTTTCCATATTTTTATCTGAGATAAGCTCTCCTGTCTTAGAAAATCCTTTAATGTTTCTTTTAATGTGTGTTTAAAGGCAATAATTGTTTTCATTTCAGTTTGTCTGAAAGTGTTTGTATGTTTCTTCATTTGAAAGGGAAGTTATTTTACTTGATAGGACTCAAGGTGAGGCCTTTGGGATGTGTTTACAAACAAAGACAGAACCCTTCAGGACAGGATTAGTGCCATTATCAAAGAGATCCCAGACAGCCTC